TCTGTGTCAAAAAAAAAAAAAAATGTTCTTTTGTCTTTTCGCCCACTAGGTCCGTTGTCCGTCTTGCCGCCAGTCTCTTAACTAAGCTAGTGGACAGCCTTGCCCCCAGTATTACTAGTGTATTAGTGCATGGGAAGCAGGTAAGTGGACGGGCAGAGAATGAGAACAGTTGGTCATTGTACAGAAACACAGATTTCAACATCAGGTTTGACGAGGACCACGGTGTTGATGTTCACTGATTTAAAGAACGTGCTCCTCGTGCTGTCATCCTATGGGAGGCGCTGCATGTGTCCGTGCCGCCCATCCCCGCTCATTACCACCGCGTGTGTATTTGCATAACATAACTAACGTGATTGAAGTGAGGCTGGCAGCATGAGATTTCTTATATTTTCCGTACCCGCGTTTATTCACTTGGCTTCACTTCCTTTAACCCCTAAGTGTGTAAAAAGATTGATACGTCGCTGTTTGATACACAAAAAGGTAACTGGAGGAGTTTTATTTTTAAAACCTAGTTCATCACATTATAATCATGCTTTCATTATATGTTAATATTGGCACAGGTACATTGATAACTGGTATAGTCAGTGTGACACTGTCAAAAAGAGAACCCACATTTTACCACCTTTAAATTTTTATCTTTCGTTTGTGTGTATATTTATTTAATGTAAAAAAAAAAACAATGAAACTATGGTGTCGTTTCCTGCATACGTGGATGTCTATATATGTATACGTATATATATACATATATATATATATGTATGTGTATATATATATATATATATATAGTGATTCGTGAATTTGTCTGATGCCCCTGCCTCAGTCCAGACTAACGCTGGATGAGTTTGAGTCGCATCATTTCCTGTCAAGTGTTATTCAGAGATTAGCCTCCTCTCCAGAGTGTTGGTTATCTCACCTCATTTTTACCCCTCTGAACAGTTTTAGGCATTTCATTACGCTCAAGTAGCTCAAGGTGTGAATCTGCATATAGATTGCCTTCCCGAGGGAATGCTCCTTTCAACATGATTGGAATGGCTGATTTAAAATTGGAGACGGCTGCGTTCCTCTGCTTACAATAACAGCGGGGGTGGGAGAGATGAGAGGTGCCACGCCACTCGCAGTCAATTCTGATTCAAATTTGGATGAAATTTAGCCTCGCAGTAGAAAAAACCCCAACTCTGCGTTCTCCTTGAATTCAAAGTGGTCGACTCCTCTGCGTTCTCCTTGAATTCAAAGTGGTTGACTCCAAACCCCCCACACCCCCGTCAGTGTCCAGGCTTTGTTTCGCTCACTCGTGGTTACATGTAAAGATGAACCACACATCGTCCCCTCATCAGCCTTCAGAGTGCTGAGGTGTCATTTTCATGAGATGACATTCAGAAGGAACAAAACACAAAAGAGCGGTCGTGGGACGTGTCATTTTTTATTTTTTTTCCCGCCGCTCACGTTTGAGAAAGGAGTCTTTCTTTCAGTGAAGGAACAAAGAGCCTTGTTAAAATCCTGTTTCCATAGAAAGTTTGGTGACTGCTCTCTAACTGTATGTGTGTGGTATGCATGTTTTTTCCCCCTCTGTGTGTGTGTGTGTGATCACCAGGTGACCCTCGGATTATTCGGCCACGAGGAGGAAGTCATTTCCAACCCTCTCTCACCAGGGGTGATTCAGGGCATCATCTACAGCAAGTGCTCCCCCCATGGCGGGGAGCGAGATGCCGCCCTACAGCAGGAGCTGGTCATTCACATTGGCTGGATCATCTCCAACAGCCCCGAGCTGTTCAGCGGCATGCTCAAGATCAGGATCGGGTACGAGAGGCTGTGGTTTGGTCCATGTAAAAACGCAGTTTCCCAAACTTTATTTTCTGGGGACCCATATTTTAAAAGTCACAAACCTTCACGACCCAAGTCAATAGACATTATTTGTAAACTCCTGGGAAACATGATAGAAGGCGACCCAAAAAAATTGATCTTGTGACCCACCTGAGAGTCGCGACCCAGTCTTTGGGAAACAATGATGTAGAGGGTCAGATCCTGTTCGTTGTTGGTTTTATCATTACATCTCGGACTTGGGGTCTGGAAGGTTTCAGGTTCGAGTCCACCAGCTGCCAAGTTGCCACTGAGGTGCTCTGAGCAAGGCACTGCTCCCCGGGTGCTTATGCTGCCCCCTGCTGACTGTGGTGATGGGTTAAAAGCAGACGTCGATGTGGAAAAGTTTTCTTAAACATATTTTAAGTATAAAAGAAAAAAAAAACAACAACAGAAAGAACATTTTTTAAAAAGAAAAAAAAAACAACAACAGAAAGATTTTTTTTAAAGTTAATCACTTTAATTTGTGTCCGTTCTAAGATGGATTGTCCAGGCCATGAAACATGAACTGAAGATCCGAGCAGGAGACATGCCGCCACAGGACATATACCAGCTCTCCCCCAGTGACATCAAGCAGCTGCTGCTGGACGTCCTGCAGACACAGCAGACCAGCAGGTAGTCTTTTAGCCCACCTTGACTGAATCAGGGTTTCTCATCACTGTCTAGCTGCTTCAGAGGAGGAGGAGGAGGAGGAGGAGGAGGAGGAGGAGTTCCGTCTTTAACCTGAAGCAATTATGTGCATTCTTTTTTTAAACGTATCTTTCTTCCTCCTTTCGGTGCCTTATCAGGTCTGTTGTCTCATCGTGTCCGATCTGATAAATATAAATCAGCTCAGCGGACGTGACTTTTATGCTTCGGTCTATAAGGATCACTTCAGCTCTCGTTTAACCCCAGGTCTTGGCTGAACAGGCGTCAGATTGATGGCTCTCTGAACAGAACGCCTCCAGGCTTTTATGACCGCGTGTGGCAGATTCTGGAGAGGACCCCCAACGGTCTCCTGGTGGCTGGGAATCATCTCCCACAGGTAGCTGCCTCCACTTCACAGTTCTCTCCTTCATCACCACTAATGGGAAACGTGTCATACAGCGCTGTACTGTACAACACTGAGGATGTGTTTTCAACACAAAATAACCTGGAAATATTACTAACGTTTAGCATCATAAATAGCGTCCTAGCGCAGACAAGACACAGACAAACGATTTGCAAATACATAATTATTTTCATACTAATTAGGTCAAATTAAACATGTTATATTTAATTTTTATTTTATATAAATATATATGTATATATGTGTGCATATGTATATATATATTTATATATGTATATATATACATATATATACATATATAAATATATATAAATATATACACATATATACTGTTCATATATAAATATATATAAATATATACACATATATACAGTTCATATATAAATACATATTTATATATTTATATATGTATATATATGTATATATATACATATATAAATATATATAAATATATACACATATATACAGTTCATATATAAATATATATAAACATATTTATATATTCATATATTGATATATTTATATATTTATATATTTATATATGTATATATGTATATGTACCGACATCTGTTTACCGTATGATAAAAATAGAAATCAGATAGACATTGACCACTGTCGGTCTCTAAATGTCCCTGTGCAGCAGCCCACACTGTCTGACATGACCATGTACGAGATGAACTTCTCGCTGCTGGTGGAGGACACTCTGAAGAACCTCGTCCTGCCGGAGTACAGACAACTCATAGTGGAGGTACGACGAGACACGACACCAACAAAGTACCACATATATGCAGTTACAAACAGATGTATACAGTGTGTCCTCTTGTGTCTGGACTTCGCGGCTAGTTGCTGATGGTGGTGTCCATCGTGCTGGAGAGAAACCCGGAGCTGGAGTTCAGCGACAAGGTGGATCTGGACCGACTGGTGAAGGAAGCCTTCAATGATTTCCAGAGGGACTGCAGTGTTTTTGAAGGAATAGAAAAACAGGTAGAGGACTATATATGGTGTCTCAGCTCCGGAGTACACACAGTAGGATTTAGCGACACCTAGTGGAGAGGTTTCATGCTGTAGTGAATGTCTGTTTTCAGCAACAACAACAATAAATAATAATACAAAATATGTATATTATATATTTGTATAAAATATATTATATATCACATATTTTGAAGAGCAGTTCCAGTAGTTTTGCATTGTATGAATCACAACATGTTTGTTTGTTTGTTTGTTTGTTCCTCCAGAACAATATGGAGGCCTTCTACAACACAGCACCACTGGGGAAGAGAGGCACCTCCAGCTACCTGGCCAAGGCTGTCATGATCCAGTTACTGCAAGGAGACGTCAGACCCTGCAGGGACGACCCGTGCACCGTCAGTTAGGTCCACAAAGCTCTTTGGCCCCAGACCCAATTCCTAAACTGTGTGATGGTCAATCATGGAGTGTCCTGTATGATTTTACAGTAAACCGTCCTCTGCTGAAGTTGCGACGTTTTTTTCAGGCTCTGAGCTGAGTTTTCATGTGTAGTACTTTCATGTTGATGTAGTTTGTACGAGGCCCAATAGAAAATACTGTCCAGATCAAAGTGGTATCACTTTAGTTTAATTTATATTTGATTGTTTGGAGTGTGTGTTTTTTTTTTATATAGTTCTGCATTCCCAGTATTCACCTAACTGATTATCATTCATCATCTCCAGTTTAATCCATTTGATTTTTTGGTTCCACCTCCTACTCCTACAGATTTGCATGAATTATGTTGCAGAGCCACTGGTAGAATTTTGTCAGCAGAACTCAGAACTTTACATTCAGGCTATTATCTTGCACTCTTGTAGTTTTTTTTTTTTTAGACAGTAGCAATTATGGAAAATGATGGTAATTGTGCTTCTGGTTTGGCTCGACATGAAAACTGAACACAGTACAACAAAAGCCAGAAAGAAAAAAACCAAGTTGGGCAAAACAAACCATAAGTCATAACTGCTGGCACTAGTGATGAAGTTTTCTTCTTAGCTGCATGTTTTTGCAGTAGAATGTAAAAAACACTGGACAAAATAAGGGATGTTTCATTATACAGAGACAATACTATTTAAAATATATTATAGGAAATACACACACGTACACAGTGAAGTATTCATACTGCGTCAGGTAAACCCTGTAACGTGACAGCAGCTGCTGTTTGTCATAGGTGTCAGACTATATATATATATATAAACAAACAAAAAACAAACATTTGTGAGAGGCAGTTTTTTTACCCATCTGCATGACAAATAACTGTGATTCATCTTCTGCCAGGTAATGGATTTTGTTGATTTAGTGCAGCCGTAGAAACTACTGTCAGTCCTGTGTAGACGTGACGACACTCTGTATTTAAATCACTGTGATGAATCTGCTGCAGTAACGTTTGCCTGCGTCTTCGTGCTGTCTCCTGTTTTGTCATTCAAAACAAGTTTTTTTTTCTTTCCCCCCTGTCAAATAAAGACACCGTGGAGCTCTGTGACTATCTGACGCTTTTATTACTTTAAGATAATGTCATTGTAACTGTGTAAACGAGCACGTGCTGCCATGGAATCTCACTCATTATCTTACAGTTCGTCTGACAGTCAGATACAGATATGTAATTAATTCACATGTGGCAAAGACGCCTTGTTCTTTGGCCCAAGCTGCAGTGGAAATGAAGCATGACCGTGGCGGCCCTGAGGGGGGACGTACTTGGCATTCGTATCAGATCCTACCAGTTACACCCACTTACGTTGCTCAAAACAAGTATCTGTGTGTGTGTGTGTGTGTGTGTGTATTCCACTGCCACAGCTGTTTGTGCTGCCAGAGAGAACCGGAGGAGAAGATAAACGCTGTCTGCCTGAAACCCAGTTTATTTAAGTCACACTGTACAAAGCAGATTCAGCCTGTCGTTGTCGTTATAAATCTCTTTCTCACCAGGAAAATCCAATTATATTTTTTCCCCCTCATGATTGTGTTAGATATTTTCAAACAGAGGTTAATTAATTCCTTTTATAAATGTTTTTAGTCAACATCTTTGTATGCAACCTTTAAAATTCAACTGGGTAGAGTGTAGCAACATCTAGTGGACACGTTGGCCAAATATCTATATGTCCTCGTTCTTGCAGAAGATCATTTGATAACGTATGAGTCTTATGAGGACATAGAGAAACCCTGCTCCTGATGGAAGAGCTCCTTCAGGCAAAATAAAAATAAAATAAAATAATTCATCCACGTGTTTATTATCAAAGTTATAAAAAAAGGTTACACAATCTAACTTAAAGGATAATATAATTTAGTTTCAAAAAGAAAAAAAAATAATTTTGGACGTTATGTCTTATCCGTCCCACTAGGGTTCGCCAGAAGTTCAGAAATGAACGTGGTCCAAAAATGATTGGAACATTCTCAGCTCGTAACAGTGAGCTCTTCAATACAAGGTTAAGACAATACTGTTAAATTCAAATAAGTTAAATTCAAAACCATATAATGATCAATTTGAGACGTCAAGTCTAATTTTCAAGTATACGTCACTGAATTTGATGTGTATGCAAACGAGGTTCTACATTTGAATCAAGAATAGTGTAGTTCTAAAGGGGTGTCGTTTTTTCCATTTCTGTATAAATGGCGAACTCTAGTGGGAAAAATATGCTACTACAAATGTTTTTGTGTTTTATTGTTATTAAAACTATTAATATTAATTCTACTAATACATCTTTTTTTCTGTCAACTTGACAACCGTAAGTATGTGTTGTTTTACGCCAAATGAGGCTTAAATAAAAACGTTAATTAAGTTAATTTAGCAACAAACACACAAAATGATAGCAAACGTTTAGCAAGCGTGGAATATCCACTCGTGTACTGTCTCTTTAAATGTGTGACGTAGGAGGAGGAGGGCGGAGACATGCGTTTTGTCCTCTCCACCCTGAGGGAGCTCGGCTGAAGTGCGTCAAGTTTGACAGTCAAGTTTTGTTGCTTCGTGTGAGACTAAAATGTTGACGGGATATGGTGAGTGAAATTAAAACATCTCTCAGTGTTTGTTTCTGTGTTGTCTGTGCGCGAGAGACGAAGTTAAAGGTAAAAAAAAAGTCAATGTAGTTGAGGTTAAAGTCGGATAAAACTCTTAGCCTCTGCAGGAAAACATGACAGTCAACAAAACAACGAGAGGAGCCGTAACAAAAGATGTTGTTTTTTTATTTTTTAATTACTATTTTTTATTTGTGTATTATTTATGATTTTACATATTGTTTTTATTATCCTATTGTTTTACTATTGTATTTTTATTTACATATTTGGACTCTTTAGGCCTTTTTTATGGTCTGCATTGTTATTGTACCACGAAGATACAACGAAACTGAGCCTCTGCTTTTAACCCATCATTAGGGGAGCAGTAGCAAGGTGATGATTGTGGGTTTTATAAAAAAAATATATTATTATTGGTACAAAAACTGTAGCAACAACTTTGATTTTCTCAGTAAATAAGTATCAGTATTGTCCTCTGGCATTTCCTGTCTGTCATATCCACATATTGTTATGTTTTTTCTGCTTACTTTTAGTTTTGAACCACTTAACACCAGGTTGTACAAGTTGTAATCTTAATACTGAATAATAAAAAGTAAAATAAAACCATACATAGTTAAAAAAAATAAAACATAAAACTGCAGTTCAAGTAGGGGTTCAAGTGTGGTTACATAACCTGTTAAAACAACATACACAGACACATGTCTTTCCTTGTTGCACCTGTTTGTTTGGTGGCAAATAGTTTTGGTTTTTGTGTGTGTTTTAAAGAGCGGAGATGAATGAGGACGGATTTGTGGTCCCTGCGAGGACCGAGTACAGGTACCTCGTTCAGGATGAGGATGAGGACAATGTGCAGTACGTCCGTCACAGACAGTATATAAGTCCTTTCGTGGTGCTGTCCAGACGCTGTATCTTCTTCATTTGTCTTGGTGTTGTTACCCTGCTGGCTCTAGCAGCCTACCTGGCCTACGTGGCTAAGACTCTGCCGTCAGGTCTTGTCCAGGTGGTGACCGATTGTGGAGAGTTCAGGGGAAGATATGTGAGTACAGATCGTCACACAGTCTTCCCTATTTATTATATAACTCATACTGATTGCATTGTTTTTTTGTTTTTTTTTTTTTTTCAAATGCAAAATGTAGTTCCATCCATTGCCACTAGTCAATCACAAGGTCAACGCATGGAGACAAAATTAAAGGCTTACAATTAGGGATGTCCGATAATATCGGCCGACCGATATTATCAACCCGATATTATCTTAACTATTAAATATCTGTAAGAATCATTATCGGTATTTCATCCGTTAATGAAAACCTGATAACGCAATGCCCGAGTTTCGTCAAATGACATGTGCCCTAAAAATAGTTTTGGTGAAAAATGGCTGAATATGAAAGTGAAACTCACTAGGTGGCAGTATTGCAGCTTATTTGGTTAATTTATTTTAATTGATTGTATGCAGAATGCTGGTGCCAACAACTCAATACAGTGGTTAGTACAGATACATAAATAAATATTATCAGGCCTATAACGGTATCGGTTGATAATAGAATCCAAAATTGTTATATAATAATAATATCGGATATTGTCAAAAAGTTAATATCGGACATCACTACTTACAATAAATAGTTCAAACTCAGACATTTTGCTCTTTCAGTTTTGTTGTAATTGTAATTTTTTTTTTTTTTAGAAAAATGGAGCCTACTCCTTTAAAGGTATGCCCTACGCTGATCCGCCGATCGGCGTTCTGCGTTGGGCCCCACCAGAGGCACCAACGACCTGTAAGAGCACGGTGACTGACGCAGGCCGCTTCGGCAGTATATGTCCTCAGGTACGCCCGGTTTCGGGCACGGCCAAGATGATTGGCAGGGAGGACTGCCTCTTCATCAACGTGTGGTCACCAACACTGAAGGCTGACGCTAAGCTACCTGTCATGGTGTGGATCCACGGAGGACACCTGCACACGCTCAGCGGTGGAGAGGAGGGCTACTCGCCCACAGAGAAGCTCGCTGCCGACACGGGAGTCGTTTACGTCAGCTTCAATTATAGACTCAACGCTTTGGGCTTCCTGGCACTGGAGATACTGAGAGAGGGTTCTTCAACAAACACCTCAGGTCTGTCAGAAAAAACTGTACATGACGTGTTTAACCTGCTGGATATCAAGAGTCCTCCAAATAAAATAGGAGGATATGCAACATAATAATAACAAAAATATATCATATTTCCTGGTCAGTTCCAGTGAGCAGGTGTAGTTTCTGTTGAGAAATGGGACACCGGACTGTCTGTTGTCCCAATTTTCTTCTGTTTCTGATTTAGAAACAAGGTCAGGTCTTACAGTATCCGTTTCTAACTGATCTACTTCTTCCGTCCTTGCTCACACACAGGGAATTATGGAATCTTAGACCAGATTGCAGCACTCAAGTGGGTCCAGAAGAACATCCACGAATTTGGAGGAGACCCTGGGAAAGTCACCGTGTTTGGACAGAGCTCAGGTATAAAAAAACAAGTGAACAAATGTTGTCTAATTTTCTAAACTTAATTGTTTTGTTTTTTTTTGATGAACCTCAGTGTTGACCTTGATGACATCACCACTGGCAAAGGGTCTCTTCCATGCAGCGGTGGACATGAGCGGCCCGTTCATTCACAATGTGACGCTGAAACAGGCCGAGTCCAACAACCTTGTCTTCCAGAAAAAGACCGGCTGCAAAGACGTGAAGTGTCTCAGGGATCTCTCGGTCAAACAGATCCTACAGGTTGGAAAAAAAAAAGTTTGTTGTTTGTGAGCTAATCTGTACAAACGAGTCAAAGTACCCAAGCCTAGACTGTGTACTTTATACTAGTAGTTATACTACAGTCGAAAACTTTACCTCCTCCTCTGTCGACCTAATATTCTAACAGGTAATTAAAGATAATAATAGATAACTGCTCTTATAGGACTATCCACCGTTGGCAGCAGATGACATGACAGCCCTTCCCACCAGAGGGCGTTTCCTTAACCCGTTGACAGTGATTGACGGCGTTGTCCTAAAAACGTCACCTTTTGAGGTCTGGGAGAGAAAGGAAGGCTTCAGCGACGTCCCGTTCCTTGTGGGGACAACGGAGCAGGAGGCAGACTACAGGTCAGAGGTCATTTAGTTTAGTTTAGTTTTTTTTTTAAACACTGCGAGATGTTATTTACTAAGTGTTGTCTCTTTGTCCTAGACCTCACGCTGAAAACATCTCCATCTGGATGTGGGAGGACTACAGGTGGTTTGTGAGAGGTGACAAAAAGTTCTGGGTCTATGAGGGTCATTAATTATAAATATAATATTATTTAAATTATTAAATAATTGTATTTAAATATAAATAAAAATAAGGCAAAAAAACAAACAAAACAAAAAACTAAAACGCCAGAACTACACAAACTGACTATTTAAGGACTGTGCAATCGATTTAATAACCACAAGCAATAAATTAAAAGCAAATTGCACAAGTGCTGCAGTACCTTCTTTGGCCGTTAGGAGGCATCATGTAACATTTTCAGTGTGTATTTTCTCTGCCTTCACTTAACACAGAAAAACTTCAGTCCTTCAGTGAGAATCTAACCAGAGATGCTCTGGACCTGTACCCGAGCTCAGTGCTGTGTCCCACCAAGGACCGCTGCCCAGAGAGGGCCTACACCACCATGGTGTCCGACATCAGGGTCACCTGTCCCAATAATGAGCTGACTCTCAGAGCTGCAGGTAACCTGTGATTGGTGGTGGAGTCTCAGCAGCAGCTGTGTTGGTGTTGGCGTTGACTAACCCTGTCTGATTCTCAACGCTCCCGCCCGCAGCTGCACTGAGCAGCCCCGTGTACCGCTACGTTGTGAAACACACTCCGTCTGCGGCGGTGAGCGTTTCTGCTGGTCTGCTGCAGTTCCCCAGCCGCTTCTCCTTCCACGGTCTGGACGCCATAGCCTTCTTTGGAGGACTGGAGTTTGTCCTGGGAAAGCCTCCGTCTGATGAGGACAAGAGCTTCCAGAGTGTAATCACTCAGCACCTTGTGGGCTTCCAGAGTGTAATCACTCAGCACCTTGTGGACTTCGCCAAAACAGGTGAGAAAAAAAAACAAAACAAACAAACAAACGATGTTCTTTATTTGATTTCCTTTGTCTGAGAGAAATAAAATATATAAATATATTTGAGTTATTGGTGACTCGTGTTTGTCGTCAGTCAGGTGATGTGTTTACTGTCTGTGATTTCATTCAAATATTTAACATTTAACACCTACACATCGTCTGTCTTACAGGTAGGATGGAAGAGACTTGGCCTGAGTTCCCAGCAGCCACAGCTCTCCTGTCCAACAATCTCTCTTTGGTCCAGAATTATTCTAGAGCACAGTGTGATCTGTGGAAGCCAAGTGGCCTCTTTGCCTACGCCTGGGTAAACTAAGCGAGTATTGAACTGTTTTTTTGTTTGTTTGTTTGTGTGTTTTTGTATCTTAAAATGGGTATATTTAAACAGGTTTGAAAATCAGGAAATGAAATAATGTTGTGTTTTTATTATTGGCTGAAATAACAAATTATTTTGACATTTCCTGTCATTTGTATTGGCTATTGATAACAAATTATTTTGACATTTCCTGTTGTTTGTATTGGCAGTCTAAACAAGAGGTAATGAATAAAATCCATATAAAGTAATTTTAAACAAATATATTCATCACATGAATCAGGGAGATAAATACACTGGTTGAATGGAGGTAAATGAGCCACAGACACAGGCTAATATGATTGGTCAGTAGGTAAAACATAACGTGAATAGGTTTAACTGTGTATTTGTTTAATGTTTCTTATCACTATATGTCTGTGAGACAGTAAACACTGTGTAATCCATGGATAAAATCACAATTTATACAGGCTGTTTGGCTGTTAACACGTGTGACTAAATGTGTGATGTTGTTAGATATTTTTGGAAACCTGTGAGTCACCCTGAAAGATATAATTGTGTGAAATAATTATTTTTCTTATGCACTCATCCACCATCTATGTCCTTTGCACTTTTTCTTTTTTCTTTTTAAACCTATGTTACATATAAGTGTGAGTTCAGCTGCCTGAACATTTTTATACCAAATATTTTTTCTTTTGAGTCTGTTGTTATTTTTGCTTTGTTCCGTCCTTTTGTGAATCACTTGCACTTAATTGTTTTATATATTCAATAAAAGAAAATCACATCATCATTTGACTTGGTATTTCTATCATATTGTGCTGTTGTCTTGAAATTGCAATAGACGTTTAATGTCCCTTTAAATAAATGTTCATATTTCTACTATAAAGTTAAATATATTTTGGCTTTAATCCATCAGACAGTCAATGAATGAATACAGATTTTTACACAATGTTTGAAGAAATGGGTTTTTATTTAAGCAGCGGACAAATATTGATGGACAGTGTATGAAAAATGTACTAAAATTTAGTTAATATTAACAAAAAAATTAAATTGAAAAAAATATTCTTAATTATCTTTTCAATAATCTAATAAAAGTCCAATAATATGAGTCAGAACACAACGAAACATCTGTTTTGTTTTTGTTGCGTGTGCCTGCGCTAATTTAACTCACCAGTAGATGGCGGCACTTCGTAACACTGTTGTGCCTACACTGATTTTTTTTTTTTTTTTTAATGCATTTTTTAAAACCTATTCTTTTCTAATCAGGCGCATTAAAGGGCAGGCAGTCTTAATAAGGACCAAACCGGATACTAATGACAACAAAACGACCTCCTGGTCTCTGGAGGATCAGGTACAGGTTCAGGTTCAGATCTAGGTCCAGGTCTACTCCTGCACAGCTGTAGTCAACGCCGTGTCCTAACAAGGATAGCTGATCTCGCGGGTGCCTGTGTAGTACCAGGACTCATGCTGTACCGCGGAGAGGTTCTGTGTCTTTAAGGCCGGACCTGACGGCCCTCTCTCGGCTGACGACTGCCACGGTGCGGCGCCTGTTCATTGCCCGGATCCTCAAACCCGCTTTGTGCATTTAGGAGCGTGGACTGATGCGTGTCTGTCGGTACATGCGCTGTTTATGGTTAACGATGCAGTGACGGAGAAGAAAAGGCTTTGTTTTGTCCGCCGGTGGTTCGTGCTGTTGGAGCTGCACTTTTACTGGAGAATGCCAGGAGGAGCCATAGCTACGTTGCCGCACCGATAGCGCTGAAATACGCAAACACGGTAATATATATTTTTATTTCATACACTCTCAGGTTTCCTGCTGTCTGCTGCTGTTGTTTGATAATCACCGATTAGTTGATCGACTCTAATACTGGCAGCGTGTGTGTGTGTGTGTGTGGGAATGTCACGTCATCGGCGTCATGGTTCTGTCTCTCCTCATCAGGCTGAGGGTTTGTTTACCCGAGAAAATAAACGTGTCTAAATCCCGTCAGTGGGTCGACGGGGTCTGGAGACGTTGGGGGGCAACGTCGTGCTCTAGGGCACAAGGGCAGTTTGAGCATCCGTGTGATGGAGTCCATGAAGATGGTCGATTATTTTCTGACCCTTAATGACACCAATATGGTTTAATATTGTGCTCTAATACACCTTCACATAAAACGGTGATTCTTAAATGGTGGTTTGCGACCCAAAGGTTAACACCTGTTTTCACGCAGCTAAAGGGTTAGTGCCAATTAAAGTGTGTTTCTCAGTGGAACAAACACATATTTCTTCAATATATATATTGATTATTTTGACTAAAGAAAAAAAAATATCATAATGTATTTATATATAAATATTGTATCATATCTGTCAGTATTAGTTTTAATGACAGTTTATGGTCTGGTAGAGAATCCTGATGTAGAACAAATATTTCTGTAAAGTTCATGTTGGTGAAATGCTGAGGAACAGAAACGGGCACGTGTCATGTGACCCAGTTTGTGTTGGATGTGAGGCACAGCCCTACACTGCTTCACCTCAGGGATTTCTGCTCTGTATTTGATGATGCGAAATACTTAAATTCTGCAATTTTTAATTTTTAATAAAATTTAAAAAAAATACGTAGAGTCATATTAAAAATGCATCTTTAACACAGCTCAGTGGAAAATTTATTTTTATGTACTTTTTTTTCTTTTTTATCATGATGGCAGAGGAGACACTGCCCCCTGCCTGTCTCTGACTGTAGTGATGTGTCTGCGGATGTAAGGAGTGTTTTCTCTCTCCCTGAACTTCTCCAGTCATGGTCCACATTTACTCAGAGCTAAATACAGAACCTAGAGGAGCTGTAAAAGTTCATATGGACCGACCAACGTATAGTCATAAAAAAACAGTTTTCTTTTCCCTCCGTCTTTTAATTACACCCCTGAAAGTCTGACTGGAGACGACCAGAACCCACCTCTCAAACTCTGTAAATGGAGTTTGTTTAATGAAGTCATGACTTCAAACCATGTGCACGGGCCGACCCTCATTATAAATCATCCAATGTGTCTGTGTGTGTGTGTGTGTGTGTGTGTAACTTCTTAGAGAAAACGACTAACTTCCAGGGCTGTCAGACCTCCTGTCAGGTCGAGCCAGGTCTGCTCTCCCGGTTCGGGGCCTCCACCCTTCTCACTGGGCCCTCAGCCAACGCTCCCTCTGTGATTTAGTGCTCTGACCACATGCAGGCGCTGCCATATCCTTCAGATGACGGCTCGTGTTTAAAGCTCCTGTAAGGCATTAACCTTTCTGCCGGAGCCTCTGCAAACTGTTGGTCTCGGCTGCAGCTGAGCTGATCAAAAGCTCTGTTTGAAAAAAAAAAAGCTTCTACCACGACTTTAAATGCGCTGTTAAAACGTTGGCGGACACAGTTGATGTTCAGAGTGAACGGAAATTTGGAAAAGAGACTTTGGGATTTGATTAGAAAATGTCAACGTACCAAGGCTTTGGATTGGTGAAGCTCAAAAGTGAAAGCTCTAGAATTCAGACGCTTCTGGAGAACAGTGGGTGAGAGAGTTTTTTTTAAAACAAAATTGTTGTAGTAGTTGTAGTACGTTTTGTTGCATTTCTGTCTATAAATGAAATAGTCAGATGGATGGATGGGAATTTACAGTGGACTAAGATGAGACTGAGAGTGAAGTGAAGTGAATGTGATATTTAGTCATAATGTTTATTGTATTTTTAGAAGTGACTATCTATTAACTATCTATTAATAAAGTGCTTTCTATCTATCTATCCATCCATCTATCCATCCATCTATCCATCCATCCATCTATCTGTCAAGATGCTGAAAGTATTTTAAAACTGTTTTGAACGACTGTTTTGTCTCAACCAGTTACTGACTGTTAGGACGTCTTAAATTTTTCTGATATAGAAATGATGTATTTCCTGCCACTCAGGTGTTAGCTTCCCCCTCAGCACCGGTTAGCTAGCAGAATGCTGACATTCCAGTCGTAGTCATAGTAATCAACTAATCTGATCTGATGTGTTCACTTTTAAATCCATCAATGAGCTGCTATACGAAACACAAATCATCTGGAGATATGACGTATGACGTATGTTTAATTCAGTGTAGCAGCACGGCCCACTGGTCCAGCCCACTGATCCAGCCCACATGGAACTGTATCGGTTTTACTTGTTCATGCCAAATTGTTTTTCCACTCTTTTTTTTTTTACAGTCACTGACATGAAGAAAGACATCGAGACTCTGATTGCAGAAGAACGTGCTGAGATCATCCTGAAATATGCGACTGTGAGTAAATCATTCAGATTCAGGTCAAATCTATTACCTTTATTTCACCTTTAAAAAAATAAATAAAATAAAAACGACTTATATTAATTTTGATTCTGACTTTTAACAAACACGTCCCTTGTATTTTTTGTGATATAATATTTTAATTGTGTGGTAATTGTAACGAGTCAGGACAAGGATTAACCACCGTTCCTGTTTTTTTATTCTTTTTTTTTTGTATTTCTGTAGGAGTTGAAGTAACTCGTCATGTACTTTGTGTTGTAGTTATAAAAGCAACAAAAATGCTGAGAAACGTGTGTGGGTGTGAACGTGTGGGTGATGGAAGGTGAATGTTCCTGCACAGTGCAATAATAACACAGTTGAATAACTGTATTAACATCAGGTGTTCAGATTTCTCCTTCATTCATATATTATTCATATTCACATATATATATATATATATACACACATATGTATATATATATGTATATATGTGTTTATATATATGTATGTGTACATATATGTATATATGTATGTATATGTGTATGTATATATGTATATATGTATGTATATATGTATATATATGTTTATACATATATATACATATGTATATTTATGTATATGTGTATACATATATATGTATATATATATACACGTATATATGTAAAATAAATATATATATATATAAGTATATATATAAAAATATATATTTGTATAAATATGTGTATATATATATATATATATATATATATATACCTTCATGGAAAACTCAAGAGTGGTAGCTGGGATGATGCAGAGTTGAGGGCTGAGGTGGGGGGGGGGGGGGGGGGGGGGGGGGGGGGGGGTGGTGTTGGTGATGGTGTCAGTCTGAGGTTAAATTTAGCTCGACAGCTTTTAGCACAGAAGATGGTGTTGATGTACTGCAGAGGGGTTCAGGTTAGCAGGAGCCACAGCTCTGACACACTCGGCTGCCGTTGACTCGTGTCCACGGTCCACAGATCAGGTGTCCAGACCAACATGGAGTCGTAACTTAATATTAATCCTGGTTCTTAAAATCACAGATTTACACCATTTTATTGTTTTTTTTTTGTTTTTTTTTTGCGTCTTTGGTCTGACAATAAAAACCCTTGTAAATCGAAGTGTGTGTGTCTGTATTTCCAGGGCAGGCAGGGCGGCGTGGAGATCGACCCCTGGGAAGATGCTGACTACAGCGTCTACAAAGTCACCGATCGTTTTGGCTTCATGCAGTGAGTTCCGTCTCGTGTTAAGTTCAGTGTCTGAATAGTTTCTAAAACCGTGCAGTGATCTGATGTGTTTATTTTCTAACCAGTGAGGAAGAACTGCCAGCCCCGACAGCACATGAGGACAAGGTAAATAAACCAACATATGAGAAGTTAAAAAAAAAAAAAAGAATTCAAAATGGGCCTGATTAAGGCTACATGACATCGGAGCTAATGAGCTAATAAATCTGAAATTGACGTTTCATTAGCGTCTGTATATATTTGTATAGATTCTCATTCATAATGTTTGTATTTACCATAATTTCCAGACTATAAGTCACTCCGCCGTATAAGTCGCACCAGCCAGCTAGAGTGCCCTCTAGTGGTTGTCAGTGTGAAAATAACGAACATGTGAAATTATATAATTTAATATATAAGTCACAAACCCAGCCAAAGGATGAAAAAAAAGTGTGACTTAGTCCGAAAAATATGATATCTTCCAGTTGTTAATTGAAGTTCATTTCCTTCTTCCATCCTTTTAGCCCAGGGGTCTCAAACTAAAAATAAAATTCAAAAATTGCCTAAAGGGCCAAATTAAATTATGTCTAACATCTGGGCCTGATGTGTGGGGGTTTCATGGGTCAGAAGTGGCCCCCAAGCCGGGACTTTGGAACCCCTGTTTTTGTCCATTCAGGTTCAAATTCCATATCCATTTTCAGGATTTTCTTGATTCTTTCCAGTTTTTTGGTTTTGTTTATAAAACATTAATGCTTG